TTAAATTCGCTGGAATTGTCCGAATTACTACCACATAATCTGAAATTAAAAGTTGTATCGCTAATCATTATGTTGCGGAACACAAACCAGCTACGTCTTTGTAATGGCACCCGGCATGCGGTGGAAAAATTAATGAACGTCATCGAAGCCAAAATTTTGAAATGGAAGTATAAAGTGCGAATTAATAGGTTTTAATTCCATGCATCCCTATGATTCCGAACGATATTGACATGCCACTCAACTTAACACGGTTACAAATTCCAGTTTGCATTTGCAATATTGATAAATAAATCGCAAGGGCAATCGTTCAGTTCTTGTAGGATCAATTTGGAAAATCCATGTTTTTCACATCACCTATTATATGGCGCTTGTTACCTTGGTCCCATGTTGGAAAACATTTACCATTATTTATTTACACGCCAGAAAACAAAAGTTATAATGTTGTGTATCAGAAAGCATTACAATAAACATTATGTTTTTGAAAAAAAAAATTTATTCCAGTTCAAATTGAATATTCACGTTTAAATTTACCGCCAAACACTATTGACATTGACTGTACTTCTAAAATACAGCGACACCAAACCATCGCCTTCTTGACAGACTTGTTTGGTTGGCTTGACTGTATTAAGATAATTAGCGGCATTATCTCAAACTACAACTTTAGTCTGAGGTTACCTTATCCAGGACCTACAGATACATTCCGGATTGGGGGACGTCCGTCTAATTAACAATGCATTACTTTATGTAAGAGACTTCAGAATGTATCCTTCACACACGGGAAAGGATTGGAGGCGTTTTTAAATCTACTTGTGATGGCAATTCTTTAACTTATCAAGTTTTGTATTGCATTAACGTCGGAATTCAATTATTTAAATTCAAGGGTTACTTCCTCGGATGATTAGTCTTTGTATATTGTAGATGTGATGCAAAATGTATTTAGCGTTTTCCAATATTTAACCTCTGTGAACAGTGATTCGGAATTTTCTTTAGCACGGTTGTTTTGTCCGATGAGTTCTAAGGGAACGTGGCCCTTTTTGGCTTTAAATGTATTCTGTCTAAACTTGTAGGAACACTTTCGGCCTTATGATTCCTTGTCTAGGCACTAAAATGGAAACAAATCTGAAACTAATTCCGTTATTTCTAGAAACAATTCAAATTGGGTAAAAATATAAGCCATTCAATGTGAAAAATAGTGAATAGTGAAAGTATGATTCTCTAACACCATGTTTAACTTGTAATCTGAAGTACTCTCGACTTGTGAATGTATGGAAAATAAAACGTTTTGCATCTGCAGGAACACTTGTGGTAAAGCCATTTAACTCAGTACCTATTGTTTTTCATACACGTTATCACAAAAAAACAAACGTTTATAGAATTGTTACAGAATCAGAATTTATAAGATAGTGTGGGAGTATGTGGAGGGGGGGGGGGTGTTTTTACACACATAATCGTCTATGGTGCTTTGCAGCCCTTCTCAGATGGAGAAAATTTCAGGATCATCAGGGATTAAAAGTAGTAGTGTGCTACATTCGGTTAGTATTTATTTAACAACAAGTACATTCTCTAATACAAACAAACAACAAATTAATTGCAATAAAAGCTTTATATTACTCTGAAATAGGTACTTTGTAGACTATTAAATTAATAATCAACGTTTTTTTGTCACTACGGACGAATACTGTAAGCAATTATTTTATACACATAGTTAACAGTAACAGTTAACGGTTAGGACATAAGCGTATTAAATGCCGAGGCGTTTGAATGTTTAATTATATTTTCTTTGCGCTGCTGATCATTCGAATGAATGAGATAGATACTAATTTTGATTACATTTTAGATAAACAAATTTAGAAAATAATATTACGTTCAGCATACCACCACCTACAAAATAATAAATTAAACATTTAAAGCCTTTACATGTTAAAAATATCAGTCAAATATAATAATACATCTGCGGTGTTACCTACCTATTGTTTATAAATACAGAAAAGGATAAAAATAACATCAATTATATCTATAAAATATATAACAATAAATAATGGAGCGAGTATGATTGATGTACTATTTCTATATTCACAATATCATTCAGTCACTACGTGGTGAAAAATATACATACACATAATATTGCTAATACACGACTGGACTATTACAAATTTATACATAATAAAGTATAACGAAAACTACAGTTACATGTAATTTACAAGTTACCCATGCTGCACATAAATAATGTTAGGTCTATCACTGTGTACATTAGGGAAGTTTCTACTACCTATATTATTTACACATATACGAATACATTTGTTACAACTGTTTTTTTCTTCCGTCATTTTTAATATCATAATGTAAATGTGACTAATCTAAGGTTACATGTTCAAATTTTATTACCTAGCAGGTATATTGAATAAGTAATGGAATTTAGTCACGTTTATTAACAATTTAGATACAAAAGTTTAAGTGAAACGAGGGTAACAACCATTAGCGCTTAATTTATCACAGTTTATGTTAGAATACACAGTATGTACTTTTGAAATTGGAAGTTGAAAACAGAAGCACTAGCTTTACAATGACGTACAATATATTGAACAATCTAATATTGTTTAAAACTATTTTTATATTGATATGTATCTTTGTGGACAGTTTCCATTATACCTTACTTGTGTATCTACTTTTTAGTACCTACACCTGCTATAGGTAAGTAATATCTACATCGTTTCAATTTATACTCACTTTTTAATCCCCCATTTACACTTAATAGTCAATAGAAACGTATATAAACATTTAACAATTAGATAATATTATTTATATTTGATATGCTAATAATTTATCACCTAGATTGACAGACGTAGTGATATGCCACTAAAAGGCCATCGTTAAAAGTCAACGTAATGATGCGTTGTAAAAAACGCATAATTATATCTCAGATTCCAATATTGAAAACGCTTAAACGAAAAGGTAGATGTAATTTAAACAGAAATAGAGTTTAAGAAGCGGTATACTAAGGGCCTATCTGGTAAAATATAATGTTCTATAGTAACTTAGGTAATATTGCCATGCAATACTGATCATAATGTAGGTACAGTGTTACCGATTTAATGGGTGCTTCTCTTTCGAATTACAACAGTTTACTCAAAGCCATTAGGTAATTACCCAACTTACTGAACAAACAATCTGCCAATTGTCTCCCGATTATCTGTGGTATTTTCAATTTTATACTACATCCGGTTATACCGGATGTTGACTCGGACTAAGACATTTTAAATAGGATACCCTATTTTTTATTACTTTTTTAAATTTGGACTAGGTGACTGTCGAGTGTGACTATATGAACGGCTTTTGAATTATTTGGGTTTTTTCGATACATTTGAAAAATATACTCCTTCAGTAGATAAATAGTCTTTTATAAAACAAACGACACAGGCCCATTATTTTCAGGATTTGCTTAAATAATATGTAACAAATATTCAAAAAATGTATACGGGGTGCTCAAGAATTGATACCAATTGTAAAATATTGAAAAATCGACAACTAAATCTATTACGTAAACTCCTTTTTTTGCCCATCAATCCCTAAATGAAAGCTTTTTGTGGAAAGTAGAAGACTTTTATTCGGTAACAATTATCAAAACTACCAAAAAGCAAACCACAAATAAACGACACGTTTAACATGTGTATAGGTATTGAGACACACACGGCGCACGCAACACAAGCCACGATCACACCCGCTTTGTATTCAATATAATATAATAATAGCGACTTTGTAGTTCAACGGTAGAGCATTGGGCTATAAATCCGGAGGTCGTGCGTTCGAACCTGGATTGAGGTGAATTTTTCATCTGTGGCAGAGATGTGAATTACCTTAGACCAGTTTCGAGCATTCTGCCGCCTACTCCGACTTAGGTTTTTCTGCAGTTTTCCTAATTCGTAAGGTAAATACCGGAGTAGTAAGATCTTCTGCAGAGGCACCTCTAAAAAGCATTATGCGGGTCACCCTGTAATTAGGCGCAAGCCTGTTGAGGGCCTAGAACAAGAGAGGGATAATAAATAAATAAATAAATAAGACTAAAAAGAAAAATATAAAAGAATAAAATAAAGATTTGTCAGAACTGAAAAATTTGGTATTAATTTCTGAACACCCTCAACAATTATTTTGGACAGTTTATACATGTTAAATACAGCCTACGTTTTTTTAAAGCAGATCACAAAAATAATGGCCATACCTCGTTTGCCATAGAAAATGCAATTTATTTTATGAAAGAGTATTTTCGAAATCTTTAATAATTTAACCATTGCAATTCAATATAGCCTACAAAAGGGAAAATATTTAACTAATAGGGAGTTCAGTGATAAACCCCTACGGCCTACATATGTTTTGAGAACTCCATTCCTATTTGTTTTCATATAGGTAATAATGTAAATTAAAACTGCCTACAATGAATAGTATGCCATTGGATGAAGTAGCTTTTAGTATTTTTGTATTTTTTATGAGTAAGTACAAAATACCCTTGCCAATGGATTAATTGTAAAATTATTTTTTTAATTGCTTTTTGTGTGCTTTTTTTTAATGTTGCATAATACAAAATAAATCATTTCTTTTTATTACCATAAGGATTTGTGCATTAAGTACTTAAAATATTCGAGTGAAATTTCCTTATATTTTTAGCGTATTTTCCAACTCATGCTGAAACGCACTATTATGACCATTTTCTCCGTCGGTCCATCTGTCCGAGTTTGCAATTAGTTCTACAGTTTTCAATATATTTCGTTCGTTTTTTTTAAAATTTGGTAGCTTATACCTCTGGCATTCGAGACTAGGAAAAATCTTGATGATTAATATCAATATCAATTAATTTTGTTGAAATTTTAACTACAACTAACTACAGGCAAACATATCGCATATTGTAAACATCAGATGTGCGCGTCGGCATGTTGCGCAATTTTTTTAATATTTTAACCACAGATGCTTCTAGAAAAGCAAACATATCGCATATAGTAAAAATTACATATGCGCATGCGCAGATTGCGAAATGCCAATCCTCTTATTTATGAAGATTGGAAATTTTAACCATACCATAATAGCTATGGCCTTTTGGGGAAGTACTGATCTAATGCATGGAAAATAGCGAATACCTTTTCACTTGTTTCATGGTAAACTGAGGTAAGGGAAAGTGCAATAGAAACCGGTGTGCTCGTTTTTCTGTTTTGTGGGCCAATATTATTAAGGTGAGTCCCATCAAAAGCGGTCCGCGGGTCTTATGCGTGAGGAGATAGGTACAGGAGCCTTTCGATTGGTCGAAAATATAAGCCGTACTGTCAGGTACACAGCTAAGCATGGTTTTCCGTATTGGCCGCTAGGGGAGGCTGTATGGCAATTGTTTAAAGTGACAGCGTTGTGCGTTTTCTGACAGCTGAAGGTGAAGGCGATCAAGATTAATCGCAGAATGGTTGCTGTGTATGACGACAACAGTTTCAATTACACTCCATTTCCACTTTTTTGGACCGACGAAACTCACGTGAAAGGTCGATGTTTCATGAACATACCAGGTGGTAACAATGTACCATCGAAATTTCAATAGTAATTTTTCATTTCTGATTATTGGCTTTCCTAATTATTTTAGAGATAAAGTTTATTTAGGTTTTTTGTAGAAAAAAAATTACGAATCCAGGCATAAGTACTAAGTAATTTTTTGAACTTTGAAATCAAGAAATTGCATAACTAAAAACTGGCGCTTTTAAGAAAATCAATGGTGGGACCGCGTTGTTTTCTTTCAACTTAGATTAGGTTTCGCTATTTCGGTCTTTCAGCATACAGGGTGTTACAATTACCCACCAAAAAATAGGTACGTGATGGAGGACGAACCAAACCATTTTTTTCTAAATAAATCAATATTCCAAAATCTTCTGTTTGCGGACTACGCTCCCAAAGTCCCAAACTTTGTGTTTCTTCTTTGACTACTTAAGTACCTATAACGTATAAGTAGGTAGTTAAAATTAGCTGCTTTTTCTTTACCCAAATTTCTATCCCAAGGTGATAGACCTAAACGGGAGTGCAACAAATATCTGATATCGACTGTGTTTGGTAGTTTTTCAACATGGAAATAATGTTAAATGCGTTTCATTGGTGTGCGGTAAATTCGGCCCGGAAGACTCGCCTCGGTAAATTCGCCCCCGGAATATTCGCCCCCAAGTAAATTCGCTCCCGGAGTATTCGCCCCCCAACAAATTCGTCCCCGGAATATTCGCCCCCAACAAATTCTCCTCCGAAAAATTGGCCCCGTAGGATTCGCCCCATATAATTACCCTCGGAAGTAATAGGTTGGTTTGGTAGCATATTAAACAGAACTGCTGGCCCTGTTATCTCCGAGGATTAATAAATCTTATGGGGAGAATCCTACGGGAGTGGAATCGCCGGGGGCGAATCTTCCAGGAGCGAATTTGTCGGGAGCGAACTTGCCGGGGGCGAATTTTCCGGGGAGAATCTTACGGAGGCGAATAGTCCGGCGGCGAATTTACTTGGGGGCGAGTTTCCTTGGGGGCGAATATTCCGGGTGCGAATTTTCAGGAGCGAATTTACCGGGGCGAATTTTCGGTGGCGAATCATCCCACAATCGTTTTATTAAATAAAAAAAATCTAACTGCAATTATTAGCCGAATTACGTCCGAATTTGAGAAATTGAGTGGATTGGCCCTTTATCTATTTAGAAATAAATCCATTCTTTCCGTCTGGCAATAAGACTCTCAGTTATGAATTTCAAAAAAATTTCAAATATTACGATCCATCAGATCCAAATCTTTTTGGTAAAGCTAGATTACATTTTCGCAACCCTAGTTTCTTCATCTCAATCCAGTTTAGAGGTATATCATTATTGGGTAGGAACTATGGTAACACTTTGCAGCAACAGAAAGGTCACAACCAAAAACATATAAATAGTGACTGGAAAAACAAAATTAAAGTAGAAACGTAAATTTTGGGATTTTAGTGACACATTATGGGCGCTTTATTTGGAAAAGAACGCCACTTCCTTGTATCACCCATTTTTTTTTACTTACATGTATAGAAAAGATGGTGACCTCCTTATTTCATGGACACCAATGTTGTAAGTTTGCAACAAGATTGCACAAACAAAAATTGGCCACACTGCACCGGATACGAATTGACGAATATGTACGATTTAGTTACCATTCTGACGAATCCTTGTCAATAACTGTTGTATGCTATTCAGGCTCTCCTCTAGCGCTTGAGTAAATCTGGAAGTACTTGTAGTTTGGGAGGACCAAAACGCGGATATACCAAAAACAATTGACTTAGGTTTCGGGTTGTAAGAGGCACCGTAACCGTTGGGTTCAACGGGTCCGTACCCCACAATGCTATCTGTAGAAGTTGCAACTTGGCTTGTTGAAAGCAAAAATGAGTTTGCAAGGCGATATGTCTCATCAGTAAATAATTCGGGAAGCTGAGACATGGCGGTTGGTGCGGTGTCTTTCGCCGCTTCTCGCAAACCCAAAAGGTGTATGTCTATACCCTGCCCTAGTATGTTATCTATCATTTCTTTAGTTTGCTCCTTAACCGCCGCATTCCATAGTTCTGAAACGTCACTGTCGCTTGCTAACTGAAACGTCACCTTCTTGTTGCCCAAATCATCGCCTTCCTTTGGTTGAGTCATAGAGGTCACCCAGTTCAATGCTTCCGGTGTCGCAGAACGGATACAGTCCACGCGTCCCATGCGAAATCTCCTCGTCGAAGCGCTTTCATACGTCGCTGTCAGTTTACCATTAAGTTTATAATATGCTAATTGTAAAGCTAATTGTATGAACACATCAGGACTAATGTGACATGACTTAATAAAGTCCTTTCCGTATCCTTCGTACCTATACACTTGATAATCCAGATCTTTAATTAAGTTATCTAATTCGACAGCGGCCTCCTCAATTCTCTTGTGATCTTCTTGTTCTAGCACCCATTCCAGTCGTTCAGGTGGTGGTAAATGACTAGTAAATGCGGTAGGAACTTCTGTGTTGTTAGGCAGGGATTCGATATGTTTAAGACATTTTTCAATTAATTGCACTACGACCACGCCTTCGCTTAAAGAGTGTTCATTGCAAACACCACATACCCCGTCGCCGGAAATGATAAATTGCAACGTTTTATCGAACCATCTGTTTGATGAATTGTAAGTGCTGCCACCTCCGTGCAGAATTTGCAAAAAAAGGTTCGTTTCGTCTCTACCTCCTGCTGTGTGACCTTCACCGCCTCGATGATTCCTAACATTAAACGACGTAGGCAATGGCTCATCCAGACAGATTATCAGCAGCGATTTGTCGATTAATTCTAAATTTCTACGATTTCTATCGTCCTTCTGAAGTATTTCTCTAGCCTCCCACCATTTGTGCCTTTTCCAACCGGTTAGTAAGCCTACTGGCGGCGCACTTGCCAAACAAGGAGCATCGTCTAAGATATTCAGTAATTGAGCGCACAATTCATCCTCATTGAGCCTTCCTCGATCAGCTGCCTGTACTGGTATGCAATAAAATTGGTTACGGCATATAACTACAACGTGTTCCGGTGGATTTTCTCCCTCCTTTGGCGGAAGTGGAATATATTGGCTATCTACGTTTCTCCCAGGTAATCTCGTGGTACCAAGTAAGTTATAATACTGTGACATACATAGTGGTTGGCCGGGCTCCCTCGAAGTGGCGCGTTCAATAGGCAACGCACGACGGTCTAATATCGCTTTATGAGCTAAGGCAGCGTCAACTATTCTAGCGGCGAAACGTGCCACATCTAAAATCGTCGTAAATTTTCTAGGTGGTAGTAAATATCCAGGATTTGAGTTTACCGGTAACGCCGCACGGTTTCCGAGGTACATGTCATTTAGCCAGTATTTATACGCCTGAAACAAAATTAAAAATCAGATAATGCAGTAAATTAAACGTATCTGACCGTTACCCACGTTTAAAATGTAAAAATAAATTCGCGCATCAATCATGCAGAATAATTCTATTATTTCCCCCATTGTGTGATAAAATTCGGCAGTTTGTCGTGATTGGGAGATTGCTTAAAAGACAGAACGCGTGCGTGCGTCGTGTTCCCGATGATTGGCTACGGGTAGAAGGACAAAGCAGGAAAGCTCTGATAACTTCGCTAATTTTCCGGCAGGCAATTGTAAAGATAGAAAATCAACCGTGATTCAAGCTTTCAAGAGAGCCTACCTTAAAGGTGCAATTCGAAAGATACCTACACTCTAATGTAGATATAGTTTCATTTCAGTGTGCCGTACAAGAAGGAAAATGTGTAGTTTAAATGTAAATGTGAAAAGTAATTTCAGTTCTCATTCTCTACGGGATAAGAAGATCTTTTTATTGTTTTTATTATGGGTTTATTTATGTAAATGATGCAATATTCTTTAACTTATTACCTTGATCTTAAAACATTCGAAACTCAAAACTCGTTTATTGTAGATAATATTAAATGCAAAATGATCTACCGGTAGCTAATTAATTTGCGATCCAACAATACAACAATAGTTGCTATACATGAATATCAATTGATGAGTGAAAGAAATTATTTACTCGTGGCGCGATAGTTAGTTTTCCTTTATTGTCGTGTATAATAGAACATCTTGTTTTATAGCAGAAGACAAAAAATCATTATAAACTTCTGACAATTCTGTAGGTATTTAATTTTGACGTCCAAAATAGTAAGTTTAGGTTCTCCCGTCGTTTCCATGGAAACAATATTGTATTCTATTTGAACTTCATTTTATATCATGCTTCGCGTCCCATTTTTAATAATAATGACAGATGTCATTGGAGTTCACAATGATTTGTTTCACTTTATATCTACCTTTGTCTTGAAAGTGATCTCTTTATCTACCCTTACGGTTAAAAAGACACTTAGCCTACTAATCGAAACCTATTAAAATGGCAATTTAACTTCTATCCCAGGCTTTCAATCAAAGATCATTATTAATTTTGTTATAAACGCACAATTCTTAAGTGCGGTATAGCGGTTGGCCTTTGTCATCGTGTGCTTTTTAATAATTCATCACATACTCCGACCAGTAGGTACTATATTTCTTTCTAAATCAAAATTCTACTCCTTGTGAACAATTTCACAATTGAGTTTGTAATGAATTTCCAGTAGTAAGCAGCGAAAAACTGATGGTCGTCTGTACCCTGTATCTACAGGTTGTCAATTTTAAAACTTGCAGTCAGCCATATTTTCTAAACTAAAGAAGATATTGAAAATCGCGCAAAACCGTTTCGGTGGTATCGAGGGGAACCAGAATGACGTTATGAGTGACAGCTCCCCACCCCCTTAACTCCCAGCCCCCTTTTCTTAAAAAATCCTAAATGGCGGCCCCATCGTTGGAAAGCTACTGAAAAATGCCGGGAGAAATGTAAGCCATTACTATGTTCAAGATTTGGTCGCTAAATTCGAAGAAACGGGATCTATTATCAATAAAAAAAAAGCAACCACTCAATGTGAAGTTCTTAGCCAATTTGCCATAAATCCCTCAATGTCAACACTTAGTTTTTTTTGTTAATTATTTCATTTTTGTTAAATTGTCTTAATGAATATTCATTTTCCACGAGGAAAAAACACACATTTTAAACACCGCATTATAATGTGGTGAAGACTTGGTGTTTTTTCCTCGTGGATACTTATTAAGAAGATTCTTACCACATACGAGCTATGGATCATGTTCAATTCCTTTTTTTTTTCTTTATTTGTACCACTGGAAAGAATTGTTCAGTAGCTTTCCAAAGATGTGTCACAAGCAGGGTCACAAGTATGGGGTTGCCATTTAGGATTTTTGAAGAGGGGGGCTCACTCATAACGTCATTCTGGTTCTCCTTCTATACACCCGAAACGGTTTTGTGCGATTTTCAATATCTTCTTTAGTTTGGAAAATATGTCCGACTGCAAGTTTTAAAATTGACACCCCGTATGTATACCTAGGTGTAGTTTAACAGTACCATGTTGTACCTTTCCGGCTATTCTTTGAAACCGTCAACGTTTTGGTAGTCGAAAATAGTCTTTCACTTATAAGAAACTGAATGAAGTCTGGATATTATTGGCCGGGTTGAGATTTTCCTGCGACGCTTCTGCAGCACCTGGTATCAACGTGAACCTACTTTCCAATAAAATTTGCAAGATCTTTGGATTAATTAATACAAAGCTTTGAACGTAGGTACGTGTCAACTTTTTTCTTATGAACTCTCATTCATCATCAATGGTGCTCTGCTAGCGCAGGTCTTTGGCGTCTTCACGTCTCTCTGTTAGCATGTCTTCATTCAATTTTGCTGGGAAAAACTGACTGAATTTTACATTTTACAAAAAAGATTCGAAACCACCGGAAACTTCCCCTCAATCTCCAGGAAATCAGGACCGACATCTTCAACCCGACAGAATTGCAGGAATTTAATCAGAAAAAGGGCAACAATGAACTCAAAGATGTTGTTTTGGAACCGTCTCAAGGCAACGGAATCCCTAATCGTTCAATTACTGCCATGGAGAAAACGAATCAGAAGAAATCCAAAGCGACGAGCAGAGGTTTTAACCAGAGAAGAATATCTCGAATCACTGAAACCCTCTACTTTAACAACAAAAAACAACCAAAACGCGAAAGCTATGGTGGCAAAGCTGGATACCTCAGTAGAAAATTGTTCCGTCCATGATTCAACTTCAGATTCGAGTTCAGATAACAACTATTCCGTCTATGACTCAAATTCTTCATTCTTCGTCCATTGGTCGAAGAAGAATCAGATTTTTATGAAGCAAACGAAAGCCACTTAGTCCTCCTTGACAGAGCGTGAAACGATGGCGGAAATAGATCATTCAGTGATACAGAAATCTCCGATCATGACCAAAAATCTCCAATGGATAATGCTTCCGCCGTCGAAAGTGTCGCCGATAGAATGAACTGGAACAATCGCTTCGTCTGCAGGATGTCTTACAGTCTGGTTTAAGGATCGAAATCAAATCAAAAGTCCATTGTATAGGAACAGTCCTAAGGAAAACGTGTGAAGCGACATAAAATTTTTAAGAAAAAAGAAAACTTTTTTATATGGCTTGAGATAGAAGACATCGATAGTCTTTGTGCAGATCGAGTCGTCACAGCTTTAAAAATGCCTATCACAGATAGAAATCATATTGATTTCTAGAGAAACTTGAAAAATGGGTGTAGGTAGTAAATAAGTTATTTTCTAATAATAATTACATTATTATAAAAGGATACAGTGTCACATATTATTATTTTGTTATACCTATGTATATGAGAAATGCCATGTTTTTTATGTTGTTTATAAAGGAAGTACATTATATTTTAATTTTAGTTGTATTAGTTGGTCCATTTATAGTAGGAGAGCTGGTAGATATTTTTGGGTAGATATTTGAGGCACGCTGAAAACTTGCCCAATACTTCTCTAACAATATCAGCACACAATGGGCCACTTTCACATTTTTTATTTATGTGATAAATCAATGCGGAACATAAAGAAATACCAGTATGCAAAATTTCACAATCCTAAACACACAAACTTTTAAATTATTTAAAGAAAGTTTTTCGCGCGCTTGGAAATCATTTTAAACGCTAGATTTTGCCGGGGCATGGTTCTGACGTCACAACTGTGTAAAAGTTCAGTGGCGATATACTTCCATGTATACTTCAATGCGACGACGTAGCGTATGCGTTTGTTGTTGCTTACGTTTTCTCCTGTGTACCAAGTTTTTTCCTGCGAAATTTAAGTTGTTTAGATGTGAAAATGGTGTATCACTGGTGCATGGTGCCAATGTTAAAAGAAATTGGTGTTAAAGTTAACATAAAGCCACATTATCGAAGCAAATATGTTCAGTGCAACATCAAGACGCCTACAATATGAAGAGCTGTTCCCCAATCAAATTTGATCCACTGATCCAGTAGAAAGTCCTCCTCGAGGTCCTCCTACTGCTACTCTGACACCAGGCAAAACTAGCCGTGTGAAGAATAGTCTACCCCTAAAATTGTCATCTTCCGAATCGCAGTCACACTCATCACAGACTTCGAAATATGAGAGTCCAGCTTGTACATGAGAGGACGATTATAAATTGGAAATACCATACATAATGCAAGCATTCCAATTACATGGCGGTGGGATGCTGTACTTAAACTAGAACTACATAGAAATTCAGATCTAATCGAGGATCTAATATTACTAATTAATTCATTCAAAGAGCCGTGAAATATATCGATGTCTCTCTCACGGCACGTCTTAAGGCAGCCCTTCACGTACGCACTTCGCTTCGAGTTTTGCATGACAGCAATGCTCGCGAGCATTGCACGAGTACAATGTTTACCCTTCTCGTGCAGTCCTTGTTCGAAGTACACCAAGTGTAGTTACGTTAAAAATCGCAGATTAATGAGGGTAATAAGTAAGAAACAAGCAGCAGAAATAGGTAGTTCTTTTAGATCATAATGAAAAAAGTAAAATAAGAAGAAAAAAGATATCGAGTAGAGTAAAGGAGTGGTAGGTATAAAAAAACGAGGTGCTGCCATAATCATATTTATCTATTAATAGAAATCAATGTAAATCACTCTGAAGATTACCAAATTTACTTCCGGATGCATATGCTGACATTAAATATATACTTAATTGTTGAAATTAAATTCGTTAAAATGCCTACAATACATTTTTCTGAAAGTGGCATTGAAAGTTTTACTGTCTCATTCCATCCAATATAATGAATATATTGTCTTATTTCGAACCTTGTATTCATGCTCGTAATCAAACTACACATTGCAACTTTAAGCGCGCACAGCTTCGTGCCGCGCCAAGTTTTCCGACAGATTCGAAAACATCAACACGAGCCAACTTGCAACAAAGTGCTGCTCGTCTGGTCCCTTCACGT